ATTCATTCATAATTACTACACAGTTTCAGAGATATTTATTAATAAGTAATGAAAAATTTACATGACTTTAGCCGAAGAGGGGATACGTTAATAAAGCTGTGGCAACAGCTCAAGTTTTGTGAGCCGCGAAAGAAGTATGAGACGCGCATGCGCTGACAAATTTGAAAAGTTTAATGTATGTTAGGTGTAATATTATAGTTATTAATTTTATTTATTTAAAAAAAATAACAATGATTATTTTATGAAAATAAGTATTTTTCTATATTTATAAAAATTCAAAAAGTTAACAATTTTAATATAATAATAATTATTAATCTTTTATAAGTTATAAAAATAATAGTCAGATGAAAAAATAAAAAAAATACTAAAATTTAAAATCAGTTAATACATCAACATGAAAAAATTAGTTACTGATTTTTATGAAAAAACAAAACAATATTGTCAATTATTTTTTTTCTATTTGTTATTTGCATAGTTATTTTCATATTTGCTAGAGATTTCTGTCGTTTTTCAAGGACTCTTTTTTATGATTCGTCCTATATAAGTCAATTTTTTAGACATTGTAATTACATTTCCGAATAAATGTAAGTAAATTAATAACTAAACGCATGTATCAAAACAAAGGTTAGTTTACAGCTGATCCAAAACACTACAGTATCACCCCTATAAAATATATTGACGCTCATGCAGTGTTGCCAGACTTTTCAAACGATCAGTTTCTCGTTCGTGATTGGCTGAAATGAGTACATAAACAGCAAAAAGTTTTAGGCTTGTCAATAATGACTACACGGAAAGAAAATTGTACGAAAAATTATGATGGAAACATAGTAATTTTTAGTATAGAACATTGTAGTGCCGGACCAGAACTCTAACATTGTAATTTATACGTTGCAACATCGTAAATTTCTATCACTCAAATGAAAAAGAAGTTTAGTTCACCGAAAAAATAATTCCGTGTCACCGAGGAATCGAACCCGGTATTTTCTCCGCCACAGGCCCAAGGCTTATCCCCTTACGCCATCAGAGGGAATATGTATTCTTTCTGTTTAGTCACATAATAAGACCCTCCATACAATAGTAGGTCATCTTTCGGTGGTGGCGTCGTAAACTACTAGACTCTGTCTCTCTTTTATTAAAACATATAGTATGCGTCCTTATTCACTTGCTCCTACGGAAAAAAAATTTACTAAATAACATAGTAATTTTCAATAATTCAAATTGTATTCTGTAGACGGCAGCATCGTAAAAATCAACATACTGAGAGTCTAGTCCTGGATTACGATGTTACCAATGTAATTTTTCATAGGATTTTTTTTCCGTGTACTATCTCGCAATGAATTATAGTAGAATACACGATAAAAATGGATTCTATTATTTGAAGTAGAAATTTATATGAATCTATGCGGATTGCAGTTGTATATGGGTCATTCCATGCAAAATCGACAAATTTTTTACCCGACCGCCTTCGATTTCGTTCAAAGTTTTGTATCTTTTTCTACCCCCTAAAAGACATTTTTAGGAATTATTTCAGATTTTTTTACCCAACCCAAAAAAAGTTACGAATTGTTGAAAAAAAAACGCTTTTTTAACTTCCCGCCAAAAAAATTGAACATTTTCAAAAATCGGGAAGTTATTGGTATTACCCCGTTTTTCGAAAATCGAGTTTTCATCAGATCTCGACATTTTGAGGTCCTAGGAAGCTTCCCTGAGTATTCCCGCGAGGGTGTCACTATGTCTGTATGTATGTATGTATGTATGTATGTGTGTATGCATGTGTGTGTGTGTGTGTGTGTGTGTGTGTGTGTGTGTGTGTGTGTGTGTGTGTGTGTGTGTGTGTGTGTGTGTGTGTGTGTGTGTGTGTGTGTGTGTGCGTGCGTGCGTGTGCGTAAGTATGTAAACCTCTTATAACTTTTGAACGGTTGAACCGATTTCATCGCGGTTGGTGCCATTCGAAAGGGCTTTGCCAAACTTAGATTTTCTGAAAATTTGAACCGATTCGGACCGATAGATTTTGAGAAATTTGGAGAAATCTAAAAAAAAATAGGAAAAAAAATTTTTTCAGAAGTGGTTTATTTGGAATAACTTTTAAACGGCTCTACCGATCGATTCCAAAAACTAATCAGCTCTCAACCTTGAAAAACCACGTCGATCGCCGCTGATCCGGTCAAAACAGTTGATTCGTTCGAGAGATATCGTGAACGAAAGAAAACCAAAAAAAGCGTTTTTTCGGAGTTACTCCGAAATTTCTAGTTTGACCAATTGAAATTTAGAAATTTTTTATGAGGCTTAAAAAACTGCGTAGAATGCCGCCAACCGCGTAAGAATCGGTTCATTCATTCAAAAGTTATTGCGGTTTGAAAATTCAAAAAATAGTGTTCTATGAAACTTCTATCAGACTTTTAAGCTCAAAGAGCGCAAAACCACAGAAAAGGTATCTTTTTGAGCTCGGAGAGCTCAAAATAACACACAGATTGTATTTTTGAGCTCAACAGCTCAAAAAAAACGGCCATGTATTAACGGAATTAGCGGGAAGTTGCAGAGATGCCTTTAGGGTCAACCGTTTTCCTAATTTTTTTTTTTTAAATCGCTAGAACTTTTTCTAAAAATTGACCGATTGGGACCAAACAAAATCGAAAATTTTGAACTCTGACTAAAATCCGTCGAGTCACTTTTACACAGAAATAAATAAAACATCTCCTTTCAATCAATATTATTACTAAACGCGTTGAAAATCATGACTCTATTCGAAAAAAAAAGATAAATTCTTACAGTTTCACTTCCTTTTCTTCTTTTGTGTTACTAGCTAAAGGTGTGGGTGTCATATTTATAGATGATAACGGAGTAATAGAATCGTGATCTTCTACGCTCTTTTTTTTCCTTCTTCCTGGCCCAGTACTGCTCATACTTTCTGAACTTGGGCTGCTTGGTGGAGAATCCTTAACTACAGATCTCATAGTACTTCCAGTAGCAGATGTAATACTACTAAAATTTCCAGTGGCTGTAGTAGTTCCTTGAATTATAGACGATATTGGAGCAACTGATAATGATTGTGTCTGAGAATTATTTCGCGCTAGATTACGCTTAGACGTTTTAACAATACTGATAGTAGTACTGGAGGTTGATGAAGAAATCGATGATACTGGCACAGGAGGAATAGACAATGATGGATTATTTAAAGTAGATCCCCGCTTAGTTTTCCGAACTTTTTCTTGTTTATCTGTTGACTGCAATCTGAAACTTGAAGTATTAAATATTTAATTGTCAATTTGGAAAATATTTATCTGTTTGAGCTAATCTTAGTAAAAAATATCAAGAAAAGAATTTTACTTTCAATTCATATTCATTTCAAATGACAAACTTCATAACTACAATAAAACTTGTTTCGTATAAAGATATAATCATATTGGATTAATTTCTATTTAAATGATTTTGCCTAATATTTATAATTATACTTGATAATGGCATAAAATTTTGATGAAAAAAGAATGTGCCTTAAAAACATTGCTGTAAATTGCGTTAGAAACACTGTATTGAAAATAACAATAAAGTTCATCAAATAATACGAAGAATGTACGTTACTACGAAAGAAAATATGATTCGCTGTGAATTAATTATTCGATATATCATTGTATGCATGTAAAAATTTAGAGTAATTTTTATTTGACGTAAAAAATAATTTTATCTAAAGAGGTTAAATCAAGTACTTGTTTACCTCCCACGTCAGCTATATTCAATGTGGCTCAAGATACTCGCGAGTGAATCGATATCTCGAATATTTATTGCGCGGCAAATATTCAAATTTACAATCTAGTCGTATTCAATAGTAGAATCAATGACAATAGTTTTGTTAAATAAATTGAAAGGTATAATTAAGTTTTTGCCAGTATAAAAAGAAATTATTTTTGAGTATGTGATAAAACGTAACATCATACATGTAATATTTTCACGTATGATTCTTATTTTCAATTATTTGAATATAAGCTTACAGTACGATACATTCACAATTAAAATATGTTATCGAAATTACTCTTCACCAAGTCTTTTTATGACTATTGTAAGAGGGAAAATTTTAATTGTTTTACGCCTGACAAGACAGTTACTTATATTAAATAATCCCTTAATCTTTTAGACAGATTAAAAAATAAATATTTTTAGATATTAATAGAGAAAAAAATTAAACATCTTCGATTTTTTTAAAATTTCCTTTTTCTTTTATAAATCTATAACTCTAGGGAAATTCATAAATACTAATAAAAAAAAAAATTATTAAGAATAATTAAGAGACGAATGTATTGTATAGTTCTGAAAATAACAAGTACTTAATTGACACGATTTGTAAAAGAAAAATCATTTTATCAATTTTAAATTCCCGCAATGAAAATAAATAGCTTTCAATAATGAGGAAGTAATTGTTTTCCCCCCGATTTTCGAAAATCGAGTTTTCGTTAGATATTGACATTTCGAGGTCCTAGGAAGCTATTCTGACCATTCCGACAAGGATGTTCTGATGCGTGAGAGTGTGTTTTCGTAAACTTTTTATAACTTTTCAACGACTTGATCGATCGATTGATACGCGGTTTATGACATTTTGAAGGGTTATCTTGTCCTTAGATTAAAAAAAAATTTGATCTAATTGCACCTGGTCAATTTTGAAAAATCTCAGAAAGTAAACTGTTAACAAAAAATTTTTTTTAGAAATAACTTTTAAACTACTATTCATATTATTTTCAAGCTCTAACCAGCTTTTAATCTTTAAAAAAAAAAAAAATATTGCGATTACCGCGAAACGCATCTTCCTGAAATACCGTATCGAAGAGCTCAATAATGTACTACATACTCTTTGTCAAGCTTGAAAAACTTGCAAGTATGCATGTTTTCAAGCGTTTTGAGCTCGAATATAGTGGTGAGTTCCAAGGATGGTCTGCAGAGTCAACCGTTTATCGAATTTATTTTTCTTTTTTTCGAGTCTTTTAAATTATGTCGATAAGTAAAAGCTAAGTAATCTTACACTCAACAGCACACTACTCAAATTAACGTTAATATATCCTTTTTATGACTAGGTGATTTGGGATGGCTGATACACATTGATCGTCGATTGTGTGAAAGCGAAATGTAATTGAAAAGATTACTAAGAATATTTGTCGTAGTTTTTTAGGTATGTAAATTGAAATATATTAATCAGCTTGGATAAAAAATAAAATAAAGATTTCCAATGATAATTATTATCAGGAATAATAGAACTAATATTAACGCAAATGTCAACAAATTTATAGTCTTCTTGACAGTTATATTGGTTATAATTTATTATCAACCGATACCACGAAATCTCTTTGTAATTGACTTACTTACATCGCTTTATGAAAAGTATTATTTTCATTAAATTTTTAATTAAGGGGGATAGCCACTGTGACGACCGAAAAAAATGAATGATTTTCGGGAATTTTTTTGACTGGGAAAAAAAAAGGAATATCAGGATTGTTTTTTATTTATTTTATTTAGTGTACACAGCCGATTTTTTTACTTTGATTTTTCACAAAATAGCGACGGATTGAAAATTTTATCAGTTGCGCAACCGTTCGAATCAATTTTCAATAAGAAAAAATCGGCTGCGTACAACGATAACTATATTCATATAAAGTACAATGAACTTGAATTTTTTTTTTTTAAATAGCTCGTCTTTTGAGAAATTGATGCGAACATGGAGAGGGAAATTTGTTTTTCAAGCTTTACTGCAACGCTCATATCTTTAAAACTATTTAATATTGTTTAATAAAAATTCATGTAAATATTGTTAGATGTACACTTAAGGAAATCCTTTCGCTCCAGTTGAGTCAAAACAATTGTAGTAGTCAATATACGATAAATTAAAAAAAGAAACCCATAAAAATTCCTAAAATTAGATAATAAATAGTATATGAGGCATTAATCGTTGAAATTTTGAAAAAAAAAAAAAAAAAAA